ATAATAGTGGTCTAATGGCATGGCACTGTTAGTCTTTTGATCATTTATTTTTGACGACATACTGATTCAGATTATAAGTGATTCGATTTACTAAGGTATCTAATTGTAAGTTTAAATCGATAAAAATTAGTAGAATTTTCAGCTAGACAGGATTTCAATATGAAAATAGGATGAAGGATTTATTATACTTTCCATGTTAATATTTCGGGAAATGAAATATAAACATTAATAATAAAAAAGAATAGTAGTTCAAAACGAAGTGTAAACTTTAAAAGTTTTCGAATTTTTTTTCAGACCGTTATGTTCACAGCAACTATGAGTCCAGCAATTGAGAGGTTAGCTCGAGCATATCTTCGACGCCCTGCCGTTGTATACATTGGTTCTATTGGAAGACCTACGGAACGTGTCGAACAAATCGTTTATATGATTGGTGAAGAAAGTAAACGCAAGAAACTTGTTGAATTGATCTCATCCGATGCATTTGAGCCGCCTATTATCATTTTTGTTAATCAAAAACGGGTACATTTTTCCGCTTTCTTGAAAATAAGGCTAGCAAATTATTTCGATTTCATTTTCAGTTTTGAATTCAGATGTGAAGTCTATAAGTTTGCAACTTGCTCATTTCACTTTTTTAGGGAGCAGATATGTTGGCCAAAGGCCTTACGAAATTGGGTTTTCAACCCTGTGTTTTACATGGTGGCAAAGGTCAGGATGCTCGGGAATATTCGTTGGCAGCACTCAAAGACGGGACCAAAGATATTCTGGTGGCAACAGATGTTGCTGGGCGTGGTATTGATATCAAAGATGTTTCTCTGGTTCTCAATTATGATATGGCAAAGTCAATTGAAGATTATACTCACAGAATTGGCCGAACAGGTAATACTAGTTTATGAAATAAACTTAAATTTGAATACGATGTATTTTGCAACAAAAAAGTCATTATCAGATCCAAAAGAAATCACGAGAATGGTTAAATTTTTCAGCGGTAAGCAAAAAGTAAAATTTCAATCAACTTGCAAAAGATATTTAATTCTTGGATGTATACTTTTCAATCAATCTTTCTTTTCCTCAACTGTGAAGCTTATTACTCTCACACTTCAAAGATTCATTGAGATCAGTCTCGAAGCGTTGTAATTACTTTCTCTTTTTTATTAGCTGCTAAAAATGATCATTTTGAATTGAAATTATAGTAGCTGCAGATCAGAAACCACGAAATAAGTTATTTGTGTGTTTGAAATAGTACACTTAAGGTAATTAGTGCATCTAGCAGACATTATGTTATAAAATCAAAATTCCAAAATAAATTGTTGAGATGTTTTAGAAGTTTGTACACTAAAAGAACTGAAAAATAAACTATCTTTTATTATTTCATTCGCTTATGAATTTCTTTTAAAAAAGAGAAAAAAAGGGAGAACATCCCAAGTTTGGTGTGCTTGCTATTCTCTATTTATATTAGTAATTAAATTGTGCACTTCGACAGTGCAACTTTATCTAATTCTGGCACATCCTTTCTTTCTTTTCTTTCTCTCTTTCTTCTTTCTTTGGAAAAAAACTTTTCATTCTTAAAATGATTTTCGTTATTTCAAATGAAAATCATTGTTATTTTCTTCTTCAATGCGAAAAGGGAAAAAAATTTGATTTTTCAAAAAATTCCCCCAAGCATTCACCCATTTCATCCATCTCATTACATTAGAAGCTTTTCTCCTCCTCCTCCTCCTTATTCTTTTATTTTATTTTTCGTGCTTTTATTCTTTATCTGTTTTTGTCTTCTCATTTCATTTTTTTTATATTTGATGACATTGGTGAACTTTTATTGATTGTTGCATAGAGCGAGAGAAGGAAATCGTTTAATGGAAAAGGTAGTGAATGAAAATAAGTGGTAAAACTGTCATAGATTGTTTGTTGAAATTTGAACAAAATGTAATGGAGGAAAGAAGCAATGAGTAACATTGTATGAGAACGAGACATAAAAGTATTGCTGTTTTAATTGATTGTCTTTTCTGTTTTTTTTTTAATAATGCAATTTTAGTTGCAGATTCTTTTTCTAAATATTATTTTTCATTTTCTCATTTTTTTTCCCTTTCTTTCAATATGCATGTATGTTTATAATAATATAGAACAAACTGATTTAAAAAGAGTGAATAATTAAGAATTTAATTCTATCGTACTCGGTAAATACGATCAAAACATTTTTAACTTTTTGACTCTCGAAGATTATGAATCTTTTGAAATCGATTTAAATCTCATTTATAAACATTCTTACATATAAAAGTTACAAATGAATTATTCTTTTTATCTGATCACTGATTGATTCGTGTTCATGTTTTCCGAATACAAATCTAATTTTTTTTTTCAGGACGTGCTGGAAAACATGGTAAAGCGATAACTTTTTTGACACCGGAAGACAAAGATGTTTTCTATGATTTGAAGCAATGCCTTCTGGAGAGTCCAGTATCAACTTGTCCACCAGAATTAGCCAACCATCCGGAGGCTCAGCATAAACCGGGTACATTTGTTGCCAAGAAACGTCAGGAAGAAACACTGTTTCGTAATTAATGTTGTTTTTTTTATTATTGTTTCTTGTTCAGTGTACTGTTTTATTGTAAGCAATTTGCTTGTTTATATCTTTGGATTGCATTTATTTATATGGATGACATATATAAAATGGGAAATAATATATATTTCATCCAGTAATAATACCTCTGCATTGATTTGAAAATGGTATTATTTGGATTTTAGAAATGTTGTCTTCGGAACTATCTATGAAAGGATTTTTTCTTTAATTTAAGCTTGACAAGACTGAATTATCAATTTCATTGGAATATTTTCAAATTATTGCTTTTTTTTGTTGTTTCAAAATGTTTCGAATTATAAAGGAAAACCTTTCGTTTCTGAAAATATCCGCTAAAATTTAATAAGTCGAAACGATTTTTCTTTAGAAAATTACGAAGTGGAGAATTTTTAAACGAATAATGAAAATTTGATACATCATCATTTACACTTTGTGAAAGAATTCTATAACCTGAGGATGTAAAAGTTTTCCTTGTTTTATCGTTAACGATGATTTGTGCAGATTGCGAAACACATTTCGGATTGTCCTCTGAAAATTGTCATAACGGATAGATCAGTGAGAGTGAGATATCACTAACAGGGAAAATAGAGACAACGAGGTCAGAAATTTATTTGAGATTTTGAATTGTATTGTTCAAGATGAATTTGATTTAAATGTTGGAATCTATGAATTTAAGACTCGGAAGTTAAGAAGCATTTTAATTTTTTATCGGATTAATTTGAAATCCATTACTTCCATGGAACTGCAATAAAATTGTTCCTCTTTTTTTCTTTTATTTCGTAGCGGTTGATAATTTTTCAGCTTATTTTGTAACGTACTGATACGATTGATTACTTGTATATTTTTATTTTTTCCATTTGTTGAATTTTTTTTTCAGCTTTTTGAGTAGGGTAAAAAATGAATAATCGGAGTCTGAGATGAAAGATGTATTTGATGTTATCGGTTTTAAAGTTTTAAGAAAGGTATTATGTTGATAAATATACATAGGTTGGTTCAATTTCAAATGGCCAGATTTGTAAGGTCGTGATTGTTTACACAATCAAGAAATTATTGATAACATTGTTGTCATTTCTTCGTACATAGATTAGGTGTATTTCAAGTTATTCATTATCACACTTTTGGGTATTATGACTTTTGATTTCTTTTTCGCCAAAGTGCTTTATATAGGTTAGGCAAGTTTTGTTGCTGCATAGGATACGAGGATAGACAAAATGTAATAGAATTTAATCCAATTTAGATAACTTTTGGATGTGATTTTGGAACGTTCATATCTATCATATCTGCTCTTAATTATGAGAAGATAATTATAGAGAGGAATAGAAGTGTTGGAGAGAAGCGAAGGAGATTGAAAGATAGAGTTTTTCTTTTCTTTTTCAATAAACTTAAATTCTTTGGAATGAATTTTATGACATTGATGGTCGATATTTTACTTTTACTGTTGTGTTTTTTTTTTCTCCCACTTAATTGTAACACTTGTTAAAATTACATTTATAAGATGCGAGATAAGGGTCTTATGAAGGGATAGTTAGAAAGATTCGAGGATTAGCGAAATTTTAGAATATTTGGAAACTAGAGCTTTGTACTTCATGATGATGACGACATCGAAAATGGTAATGAAGAGACATGTAAGATTTATGTGTAGGTGAAGAATTAGGTAGTATTAAATTATGGCTTTCTTGGTTTGCGAGTTTTCACGTGCTGCGGATGAAATTATTGTATACGTGCTATAACTGTGAGAAATTTTTTCAGAATTGATTTGCTTATCATCGGATATTGTGGAAGACTGTCTGCAGGATCGTGGAAAACACGTCGGGTAACAGCACGAAGCACTGGATTTATTCAAGTGCACCAGGCTCGAATGAGTCAAGAGCAGGTCATGTAACTAGATGGGGGACGATGATTGGCCGTCACAACGATTTCGCGATCATGTTATTAATCGATTGGAACCAGAACTAGCAAGAAATCGTCAAAATGCTCCAAATTTACCCGTACCCGGTGATGCAAGACAGGTTGGTTATTGCGTTTATGATTTAAATTTAAGATGTCAAGATTTGAACATTCACATATTTAGGTTAAATAGATAGAAGTTTATTATTCTTGCTTGCTATCCTTTTGTCAGTTTAATCTATTGATTATTTGAATTATTTATTCGGACTTAGATTTGCATGTCAGCATTTTAATTATTTAGACTGACATGCTTATATTAAATGTTTTATTCAATAAGTAAGATTCTGTTGAGTTCCACATTCAATACTTCACAACTATATGTGATGTAGTACTATTGAGAAATTTTATTTCTCCAAATGTATAGTACATTGCTACTAGTTTTTGCATGTCGTGAAATGAAGCATTTTTATAGGTGGAGGAATATGTTTTCAACAAATGCGTCAGTAAAGATGAATATATGCGAACAATTGCCAAAGTTATCAATGCAATCAATTGTAATTGTCAGTATTTTTCATTTATTCTACCCGCTTATGGCGTTATAAATTCTGGAATAATTAAAATATAAAAAAATACCATTTACAATTAATCTAGTTGAGAGAAAGCTGAGTATGAAGTGGTTCATAAGAAATTAGGGTGATGTTAAGGAAGCCAAATATAATCAAGACGGTTCCAAGAAATTTTTAGATATAGGTAAAATGATTCCAGAGAAAACAATGGAAATAACTATTTGTCTAATCATTTCACCAAATTAGGATTGTTTGGATATTTTGTGTAATATATATCGCAAATGCGTGCCAGTCGATGACAAGGATCCATCTTCTCCAACAGTGGTTTAGCCATTTCAGTTGATTGGTTAGGTGTTAATGATTGAAATTATTTCACAGATAGGAAAAAAGAAACTCTCTTCAACTGTCAAAATGGGATGGTAGTGCGATGATATTCAGAAATCAAGCAGAAAATACGTAATTATTTATCCATCGAACCTTTATAAAAGATTTTGGTTTGAGGAATTTTATCGGGTTGTTTTTTTTGATAATAGTTTTCTTTCTTTTGCAGCAAAATCATCAGCAGTACCGTCTCTTCTTCAACCGTCTCGTGTTCATTCGGCAACGCAAAACTATCGGACCACGGGTCTTAGTATACCACCGGATCCGCAACCCACCCATCAGCAACAGCAACAAAAAGTTATGGTAAACATAAGGAAAATTAATTTGTATAATTTGAACTTTTGATGGTTTCCTTTCTTTCTCCTTTTCCGTCGACTGTTTGTTTTACTTAGCAAAGTTAAGTAAAGTGAAGTGTTTATTTACTGAAATTTCGATCATTAGAAATGTTTCATTTGATAAATAAAAAATATAATTGAGACTAAAATAGTTTTAACATAGTTGAGAAATTACTGACACCATTTTTTGCATTGACATTGATGTTGAATTTCCATTCTTCAGGAAAATCCACACTAACTATTTTTGCAGGATAGATACCATGCTCCCTCTCTTAGTCAACTGCCGCCAATGATACAGTCGCAGCAATCATCATCTGGTGCATTGGCTAGCGCTAATATACAGTCGTCACAGTCCAGTATGCAACAGCATTCTCCGATAACACACCCAGTGGTTCCCCAGCAAACGCCGTATAATATGCTTTCTCCGGTTTCCTCTGTCCCTGGGTCACACAGTACCTCTCCAAATCATCAAATGTATAGTCGTGTGAAAACTGAACCAAAAGGTGTCGTAAACGATGGTACTGGCGTTAATGATGGTACAGGTGCTGCAGAAGTTTCAATACCAAATTCATTGTCTATCCGTGTATGGAAACGTGAAATTCCTGCTCCTGGAAGTTATTACTCAGCAGGTACTTGATTTTTAAACCTTAATTGGTTTCCAGTATTCTCCTTTATTCTCCACATAACATTTTCTGTCTTAATATAGTCTCAGATCATGTCAGTCATATTTGTTTTGTTTTTGTTTTCGAAAAATATTAACGTGCTTTCACTTAGCTTTTAATTACCTTTGCAAGAAATTAACCTTAAACTTTTTTCAAAACATATATTGATTCAATTTTTTAATTGTTATCTAATGCATTATCATAAACTTCACAGGTCCTTACGGTGCTACAGGTTCCAATCAGTACATTGAACGTACCCATTCATCGGTATCGTTTATATCACGAGATACACCTATTCTTTCTTCACAACAAAATGCTTCATCACATCACCAACAACACCATCAGTCATCAGTTTTGGAAAATCTTATCAATTCACCCCATTATGGGTCACCGACACCATCTTCACGGCATTTAAATGGATCGAGTAATCAAAACATTGCTGATTTGCCACTTGGAAATGCCATACAACAAAATGAAGAGGTTAATTATTTAAAATGTATGATAATGGATAAAAAATCTCATAAAGTTTAATGCCAGGCTTTATTCGCCAATTTAGTATATTGTAACATACATTGCAGAGAATATTAGAAATAATCGAGTATAACTTATGTTAAATTTTCATCTAAATGACTCGTACTTATTTTTTCCAAATAATTAAATATGTTTTTATTTAAACTTAGAACCATCTTAAATTTATATTCCTCATTTTGATGTCTAATTTAGCTATTCATTCTATTAATCAAAATTCTTTGTAGCATTTTATTAAAAAGTTGTCTTTTTGCAGTAAGATTAACATTATAATGTCAGTCAATCCATTATTGCAGCGTATATATACCGAGAAATTACGCTCATTAAGGCCTTACGTTGAAAGCTTACGAGCACGTGCACAACAATGTCGACTGGAAGGCAACGAAATTGCTGCAAGTAAATTTGATACAATGTGCAACGTTCTTGATGGCAAATCGTATGTGTGATAGTGTTTAAAGTTTTATTTGAAGTTTAAAAATTACAGTTCACATTAGGATACATTTGCTTAATTTATGTGTTTAGTTACGGTTTGAACTGCCTCTTCTACGCTGCTAAAGTTGAGCTTGCATATTTGAATTCATAGTTCATCCACATACTTCGAGAAATGAAATAGTGTTATTCATTTTGGCTTTGTCTTTGCTTAAATTTTTGATGTCTGATTTTTTGTGAGTAAAATTAAAGGCAGATTAATAAGAAGCGCTTATTTTAAGTTTTCTTACCTTAACACTAGCTATATATCATTTTATGAAAAGTGTCGCTATTAATCAAGCTTTTATTATTATTTGCAGACGGGTATCATTTGAATATCTTTTGCAAATAGAAGCATGGATATATAAAAAGCAGCAGTTTCTGGTAAGTAATATGTATTTTACGTACTGATTTAAAAGCAAAATATGCTAGCAACAGAACATGTTCATTAAGATCGCAAACTTATAGGATTTGAAAGTTAAAATTAATCAGATTATTAGAACATCAGACTTGCATATCTAAAATTACCAAAATTATAAGAAGCTTTTGGATTATTTTCTACAATATTTCAGTGACTTTTTAGTTGTATATTTTTTTGGATTAGAGCTACTATCTTGGCAACATCGAATTATAAAGTTATTTGGATGATTCAACAAAATATATGAAAAATCATTTTTAGCAAACTTCATTGAATACTGGAACATTGCAACCACAACCACTGGTGGATGCAGTAAATGCAGTCTTGTTAAATAACGAAACACAGGTTGGATACGGTGATCGTGTACAAACGAATACCAGTGCTCCATCCTCAGGACACTGGCCGATGCCATCTAGTCGATCACAGCAACAACAGCAAGCATCACCCCAAATATTACCTAGTATGGTGTCATCATCAATCCCAGTGGCTCTTTGTCCAGCGCGAAGTACTCTGATGCAGTCACCAATACCGTTGCAAACCACTAGTGGTCAACAGGTTGCACGACATTCAGTGGAACATATTTATCAGCGACATTCACCATATCCAAATCCAAATGCTGGATTACGTCCTGGTGCACAGGCTCAATCGGTGGTGCTTCATCATGGTTTGCCCAGGGTGATTAGTATTTTTACATTTTCTTTAATTCTTAGGCAAAACCAATTTCCATTTTTTGTGTATCAAATAACAGTTATCCAGAATTTTGATACATTTCTGCATTTTTACAGTGGCAGATTACTTTCAGACATGGTTGAAACTTTAATCTTCCACTAATATATCTGGTTATATTTCCGTTTCGGGAAGGATCAGTTCTAATTGTTTATTTTTTTAAATAATTTCACATATTTAATCTACGAAATTAAAGCATGTCGCAAGGCATATTAAATTTCATGAAATTAAAAATGTATAAGATCCTTGTATGATTAAAATATAATTTCAAAACCTTTAGCAACAAACAGCAGCAGTGACAGCAACTTTACCACCATTCTCAGAAGCAAGTCGTGCATCAACAACCGACTGCAGCGGAGTTGAAGATCTTTATGTAATGGATGATTTCTTGCCAACTCCTATAGAAGCAGTGCCGAATAGCACATCTTCACAGGTTTACTTTACTTGAGTCAAATATTTTATATATTTCTAAATCAAATGGAATTTTTATCAATCATATTATTAGGGGGCTGTTGATTATGTAAAAAAATAATGGGGATCTGTTGATTATGTAAAACAGTAATATTGCTTTAAAATACACTACCGACTGGTTTATTTCTCTTGTGAGAAATGTTGGAACCGTATCGTTTTAATTATGTTTATTTGGAACTATTTGAAAGTTCAAATGAAAAAAAGCTGTATTTTATTTTTCTTGTTGCAGATAGAAGGTCAATTGCCAGAAACGGTGCGTCAAGAACTGCTAGCATTTGGAGATCGTTTTTTAGCCGATTCTAACATTGAACAAATAACTGATTCGCATTCTGTTATTGTTAAATTTTCATTAAGTAAGTTTTTTTGTGAAGAAAATTTTTTTAGTAATTATAAAAACATTAAATTTCGAAAATAAATCGAGACCCATGAGATGATTCAATATAAGTTGTCAGAAAAAAATTTGCAACTTCAAAATTTAAATATTTGAATTTAATAACAACTGTTTTTAAGCCTCACACAATGTGCCACCGCTACAGTTGATTATACCGAAAACATATCCCAATGGTGAAGTCCTGGTGGGTCGTGCTGCACTAGATTTAGGTTTGACACTTTAGTGTTACTGTAAATAATCCCAATTCGAGATTCCAGGAAAAAAATTCAAATCGAAATTCATAACTAAATTTTAATTTGTTCTTTAAAGGAAATATTTGAGAAGATAATTTCATGCCATTTTTTAAGGCAAGTCAATTTCTCTTCACTAAAACTCGCAAAAAACTTCATTGCTTAGACGGTTTGACTTTCATTTCTGTTAAAACCCTACTTCATTTTATTGTTAAAAAAATTTTAATTCTGCTTATTTAGATTCGTTTTTCTTCGATGATTTGCAAAATGTGATACATGAACGTTTAGCTCGACCAGGTCTGCGAACGGTGACAGATTTCCTTGAAACTTGGGTGAGATTTCTATGTCTGAGATTTTTTAATTAAGTTCGGATTTTTAGTGATTTAATGGAAAAATTGCAAAAACATTAAGTGACAAACGCTTGAATTAATAGACAAGAGCCAATAAGCGTAACACAAATTTTGGAGTTGAAATAAGAAATTTAAACGTATATGAAATTTTCAAGCTGCTTAATTATTCAGTATCAACTTATCAGTTTAATGCGAAATGCTAAATTAAGCCGTTTCTCAGAAATTTCAAGCATCTAGCGAAAGCACTCATTTTGAAATTCGATTAGGTGCAATGTTGACCAATAACATTGGTCCAAAAGTTGGAATGCTCAGTCGATACTGTTGTTAATTCATAAAAATAATTCGATGCTGTGCTCCACTTATTATTATTACAAAGGGCGTATAAAGCACAAATTTTCCTGACCTATTTTGAATTTTTAGGAATCGACAGTACGTGGCTACTATTTGGGACAGCAACAGCAGTCACTGTTACCCAATTCATTTGATGACATATTACAAAATACAAATTTCAGTGATTTCTTATCCTGAAATATGCCCTTTTTCTAATGAATTTTTTAGTTCCATTTTTTTGCGTGGATTTTATATGAAAATTGTTGCTTGGTTGATTGCTGCATTTGCTGTGTTGATTCAAAATATATGAAAAAAATGGAAGTGTTGATTTTGTTCTTTTTCCTTGTTCATCAGTGATATATATTTTTTAGAATGAATTTCGTTTTTCAAGATTTCGAGTTCTGAAGTTCTTGAATTTTTATGTACGGTTATTTTGCCAAATATGAGAGGGAATTGCTTCATGTTGTCTTGTTAAATTCTTCTTGTCCTCTTTGTTTATTTTACTTCGTTATCTTATTCATATAGTGAAATTGGGCTAGCACACAACAGTTGTGAATAGAAAAAATGTGCGCAAGTTTGTCTTATTTTGCTCGTTTATTCGACATCTCTACAAATCGGTTATGAAAATTTTCGGCAATTCCCGTGATTTCGCTTGTTCTGTATTTAACCATGGCAATTAACGACATTGGAAGCAAAATGCAAGGAACACACCCAGGGTGAAAGCAGTTGATGCAAATAGAGCAGGCCTGGAATTATGCTTAGTTTTTCTTAAATTCTGAAAGATGCAAATACTAAGAAAACAATAAGCTGTGTTGAAGGAATGATCTGGCAGGGAAAAGGGTTTTTTGATGTACGTACTTCAGAAAGGATTTTAGCTGGTTGGGAATCATTTTTGTTTGCTATGGCTTGAATTGTAATTTTGAGACAAATTCGTTTTTGATGCTTTCATAGCATGGAGATGATCATCCTTGTTATTTTATTTCAAACAGATTCGAAATTTCATTTGGAAATGGAAAAGTGAGAGATCAGAACTTACATAACCCATATTCGCCATCGTTAACAACATTGGTTCTCACAACATGTAAGTATATATAATCGGTTTCTTCGGGACAACTGGAATTTCTTTCATTCTCTTCGAAATGAAAATAATAAAAAGGCTTAAACGTGATATGCTAAATATCGTTCAAATGAATAAACAATGTAGATTTATGAATTAAGTTTATGAATAATTTGTTAAAATACAACTGATAACTGCGTTTTTAATGTGCTTTCTATGTCCATTTGAAGAAATTCTTACTGCTCTGTATTCTCAACAGTTTAATAAATATTTAAATTAAACATTTTCAAATTCAGAAATTAGTTTCTAGCAAAATTTACTACAATAAATGTTGCTATTTTACATTAAAACAGATGAAACATAATGTATGTATATACGGGAATTTAAGTTTAAGCGTTCAATCAAGTAGAAATTATTTATTCAATTTTCTTAAATCTTCTTTATTTATTTCTGATAACTTTCTAAAAAAAGGTTTTGGCAACAGTAAATCGAAATACTCTAAAGATTTTATCGAAATTGCAAAAACTGACTGATAAGCCAAATAGAATGAAATGAAAGGATTTTATTTCTAAAAGATAGAAATGACAACTTCCAAAAAAGATTGGTAGGTGGTTAAATAAAGTTCAAAATCTCGATTTAGCTTTTATTCAGACTTTCATGGCATTGAATATGTTTATCAGTAGCTTTAAAAAGTTGTTGGAATCCAGAAATTGACATTTGACAAATTTCGTTTTTATTAAAAGGGATTTTTATTTAAAAGAGAAGATTAGGCAGCTTTTTTTGGTATTCAAAACTTTTATTTTTCGAAATTTATTAAATTTTAAAAGATCCTTAGAATATTTTATCTATTAAATTGCGAATAAAGCTAAACATTGTTAGAATTTTTTAAAATTCCAAATTTTATTTACTACCGCAAAGGAAGGCAAATATTCACTTCATCTGCGATTTATTTATTTTGTATTTTTCATCATTATATGTTACAGCTCACTTTTTTAAATTAGAACAATATATTCAAATTTCAAAAATGAGGCCAATTAAAAATTAATCTAACGGGTTTTCTCTTGTTCTGCTTTGTAGAAGGGTGATTAAAAGTTTGATTGTTTATGTAAATGTGAAGTAAAAGTATGGAATTTAGAAATAATTTCAAACAGCAAATGCGATTCATAATTTATTACATATTCATCCAATAATGTGCGCGAATTATATCTACTTCTTTCAATCCGGACTACTCGATTATTCAGTTGGAGACCCGCTTTTTCTACGGATAATTAGCTTCTTGAATTAGATAAAACACTTCAGTTTAATCTGCCAATAACCGTTGCTAACAATGTTATATTTGAAGTGATATCTAAGGAAAGAAAACTGATAATTGATACCATTCATTTATCGAAGAGAAAAAAATGTTATTTCTATTTGAAGGAAAGAATGAATTACAACAGTGAGGGAAAAAAATTCTCCAAATTTTTTTTAATTCAATTTAAAATTCGATTTTTTTTGGTGGCAATTTTTTATAAAATTTTACACAAAATGGAAAATTAACTTACCCCTGCGGCATACATAATCCTTGTCATGGATAGCATGAAATTACATCGATAATTGCTGCGAGAAATGCCACATAAAACAAGATATGATGAAATATCCCATAACTACTTCGACTTCGAACTCCAATGTCATCAGCATTTTTCGTTAGGATCGAGTTCATTTACACATTTCAAAATGATCCAATCTTTTTTACTGCAGCAATATAATCTAAGAAGCAAATGTTGAAGGTAAATGTTCTTTTTATACTTTAAGCTGTAGAATAAATAGGCGAAATGTTTAACTAAACTGATAGAGCGGTAATTAGTATGTCAGCTGACTGCTAATCAAAATATTGTAATAGAACAATTTGATGTGAAAAAGGGAATGTATATTAAGCAAAGTTTGACATTAGCAGATTAGAGGATGCAAATGTTAATGATTGTAATCACAGACTTATCATAAAATTGCTGAAGAGAATATTTGTAACAATCTGGATGTTATAATTAATGAAAGCCAAGTTTGGATGAGTGAATGTTGCCATAATAATTATCATATATATTCTGAGAACAAAAAAGTGAAGGACATCTCCCAAAAAAATCTCTCACTTTTTCTTATATATAAGTTACAGAGAAAAACAATTTCTTTTGTCCAAAGAAAGAAAATGAGGAAAAATTTACATTCAGTACTTATATATACGATATGATTAATGCTGATTTAAAAAAGTTATATGTGATGATAATTGTTATGATGTCATGAAAATTGCGCATGCAGGTATGATCGCATTATCTGTCATGTTTTGCTTCAAATTGAAATGTTCAAAATTGAATACATCAAGAAAATGAAAAAGCGCCACATGATCTTTTTTAAATAATGCATCAAAATTTTCGAAAAAGTATCTTAAATGCTAATTTATCATCACGTTTACTTAGCAATATGGCTCCATTCGCAAAATGGAATATAATTTGATAAATTTTGCCAGAAATTTAACTCATTTTTTGATTAGGATAGGGTATGTATTGGAAAAAAAGAAAGAACGGAAATTTTGTCATGAGCTTTCATTACTTATCTATAATTTGATAATTTTTTTCCTCCTTTATACTTTTTCACTCAGTTATTATTTTTTGTAAGTTGACAAAATATCGTAATTGAAGAATAAGCAGGAAATTTATTTCAGTATAAAATAAAGATGGAACCTTTGGTAGCAATTCAGAGTACTTCGAATTTAATAATATAGCATTCTTATTCAATGATTATGCTATTAATTTATTGTGGTCAAAATTCTTAAATAGCAATGTCTCAAAATTTATAGCAATAAAACAAAAAATTCTGTTTTAGCAACTTGCAATAAATAAGATTTATTCAAATATTTAGTAATGTTCGTGAGAAAAAGTACAGAATTTGGTGTGGACAATTAAAAAAGTGACATTCAAATCATGCAAAGCTACTGGAAGAAAGTATAATATTTACTATTTAACTTTCTAGTTATTTTGAATAAAAATGGTTACATTTTAATTCTTCAAATTTAATGAAAATTATCACAGTAAATGAGAAAAATAATTATCAGTAGGTGTTAAACTATTATTTGTTATCGAATGTAACATCTTGTTTAGGATGATTAAATTATGAGATATATTATCAACAGCTGAAAATAATTTTAGAAACATTTCATTTATTTTTTAGTACTATTGCTGAATGTGTAAGAAAATGTTGACCACCACTTTAAATACTAACAAAATAATGACTACATCTGCAAATAATAATTAATTGCATTTTTGTCCCATGGATATGAGAATCTTGATTACCTATGCAAATAGCAAAAACAAAAAAAATCTCATGAAAGCCGAAGTGGCACCAGTTTTCAACAGTTCAAAATCATTTTAAAAAATGGTTAACTACAGCTTCAATAAATCTGCTTGGTTTCAAAATCACACTGGTTTTTTAAGAAATTCATATAACTTTGTTGCTCTTACTCAAACAATAGCAGGCTTAATTTACCCGAACGACTGTCAAAAGCTGTTTACATGAAATCAAAACCACTACAGGTTGATTAATACATATGCAAATTGAATTGAGTCTGTAAAGTCCATCATCACTATATCCTTACTTTCTTTATCGTATTTTGAAGTGTCTAATCCATTCCTCGATCTCCATGATTCTTTAACAGCGTAGAACATTCTCCATTATCAGTTCCTTCTCCTTATCAGATATCATCCATTTCATCTGATATTCGATATCTGAATAAAAAACTAATACCTTTAATTCTGAATTTTGACTTTCACGTAAAAATCTGAAACCACATTAGCCAACGTATGTATTCACATACTGATAAGTGATGAGAGGATACAAAGATGACAACATTGCAAAAAATCTTTTATGGTGATTTCTTTGTCGGACGTGAATGTGCATTTAATTAGATATAAATTATTGTTAGAAAATAGAATACAATCAATGAAAAGTTGAATGCAATGGGTGTTATTATTTCAGTGGCATTTTTTAATTTAATCTCTTGTTTTCTGTGTTATTAATTTTCGCATTTGAATTGATTTCATTGCCGTAATTCATTTTCCTCGGCGAAATATAAGGAAAGCTGAGGGACGATACGGCTCAAATGAACTGAAGA